GCTAGGAAACAGCTCAGCTGAGTGCTTGTTGCGCAAACACGAGAACTTGAGTTTGGACCCCCAGCACCCCCACAAAAGCCCACAGTAAACCGTCTCACCCAGCTGTGGGCCCTGCCAGGTTATGCTAACAGCTGGCCTACTGGTAAAACGGTGCCATGAATGTTATAGGAGTAACTGATCTTTGGGAGTTGGAATTAAGGCCCACTCCACAAGCTGGAACTCATGCCTGACGCCGTTAATAGGGCCCAGAACCTGGGGCTAGGTAGGTCATAGGCCCTAGGGGGAAACCTACTGCTATTATTTTGTCCGACAGATACAGTATCCCTTTAAAGACTTTGTTTTACTCACTGGTTACGGCCGTTCTGTGTTCTCATCAGAGACGCGTCTATTTGCAGCAGATGGTGGTGAACATGGAGACTTACAACCGGCCCGGGTGCTCAGCCCTCAGCAGGACATCTGTGTCATGCTCCGCCTTCCAAGGTTCAGGGATCATCACAGGAGAGAGGTGGGAAAGATTGTAAGAACACAGCGGACGCCTATGGAAAGCTGTTTTCCGGATACGTCAGTGTCGTCGCTCATACGAACCTGTAGAACTCGTGACAGTGTGCGTGAGACTGTGCAGGATCAAACCAGTCAGAATCCCAGCACTGAGGAAGGAGGCGGTCATGAAGTCCCACCCCTACCTGAAGAGCTATTGTCAAGTGATGGCCGTTGGGGAGAGAGAGAGAGTTTTCTTCAGGGACCCATGCTCCCGCAGAGGGTCCTGCGCCCTTGCACTTGCAGATCGCACTAAGTGGCCTCAGTGGGTTTAGAAAGACAGAACCCATAAGGACGGGAGGGTAAAGTGGTGGTGGGGATACGGGAAGAACGGTAGGGGAGGAAACGGGTGGATACGATTAAAACACATTCTACGCACATATGAAATTCCCAAACGGTGAATTGGGAGGGAAAGAATAGAGAAGTCGGCCTCACTCTGCTGCTGCTGCTGCAACTGATCAGCAGCTCTGGGGGACGTCCTGTCTTTGTGGACATGTCTGGCCACTGGCTCCAGCCCAGAGCCTGTATGCCAAGATGGAACAAAGCTGTGGGCTGGATGTTCACGAGCAGGCTGACGGCCTATGAGCATCCTGGTGACAAAGCGGCTTCCCCACTCCGCTCCTATTGATCGCCCATCAGTCATCAGCAAGTGGCTGTGTTAGACATGACCCTTGGGCATTTCTCCAATGCAAAGCCACTTAGCATTAAAATTGCCGGGTGTCCTAGGTTTTCCTGCAAGCCTGTTACCACCTGTGTGTAGCTCAGCAGGAGTCCTGGATAGTACACCAAAGATCTGAGTTGACCTGTGACCTCTATGACACAGCATGACATGTTTTTCCAGGGCAGGAAGTTCTCATGGAAATAAACCAAATATATAGAACAGCACTTTCCCCCCACTGACAATTTAAAAGCAAAGGTACTTCTTATAATTATTCTCTTATCAATATTTCTATAGTCTGAGGTAAACAATTCCATCTTTAGTAGTACTTTAAGTTTCAAGGGAATAAGCACCTAGAGAATTAAATGTCCTCGCATTTCATAATCTTACAGGCTTAAAAGTAAATATTTTAGAAATTAAAAATGTGTGAATTGGTGACTTCACTCAGCTCTCAGCGTTGTCCCCCCACGAGGGCTGGGGGATGTCCCCTGGGAGCCCTGCCCACTGGAGAGGTAGCATGCAGCTCAGAAAGAGCCAGGGAGGCAGTCACCTCAGCTCTCCTCCAGATTCTCCAGTGTGTGTGCATGTGTGTGTGTGTGCGTGTGTGTGTGCGCGCGTGCGTGTGTGTGTGCGCGCGTGCGTGTGTGTGTGTGTGTGTGTGTGTGTGTGTGTTGGTTAATTGACTTTAATTGTCAACTTGACACACTTTAGAATCATCTGGGAAGAGAGCTTCTATAGTGGATTGTTTACGTCAGGTTTGCCTGGGGTTATATCTATAGGGGTTTGTCCTGGTTACGTTTGTTGATGTGGGAAGGTCTAGGCACTGTGGGCAGCTCCATCCCCTGGGGCTAGGTCCCGGACTGTATAAGAGTGGAAAGAGTTACCCCAAGGTATTTTATATCATTTGTGGCTATTGTAAAGGGTGGTGTATCTCTGATTTCTTTCTCAGTCTGTTCGTCATTTGTACATAGGAGTGCTACTGATTTTTTTGAGTTAATCTTGTATCCTGCTACATTGCTGAAGGTGTTTATAAGCTGTATGAGTTCCCTGGTCGAATCTTTGGGGTCACTTATGTATACTATCATGTCATCTGCAAATAGTGAAAGCTTGATTTCTTCCTTTCCAATTTGTATCCCCTTGATCTCCTTTTGTTGTCTTATTGCTCTGGCTAGAACTTCAAGTACTATATTGAATTGGTATGGGGAGAGCAGACAGCCTTGCCTTGTTCCTGATTTTAGTGGAATCGCTTTGAGTTTCTCTCCATTTACTTTGATGTTGGCTGTTGGCTTGCTGTAAATTGCCTTTATTGTGTTTAGGTATGTTCCCTGTATTCCTGATCTCTCCAAGACCTTTATCATGAAGGGGTGTTGGATTTTGTCAAAGGCCTTTTCAGCATCCAGTGAGATGATCATGTGGTTTTTCTTCTTTCAGTTTGTTTATATGGTGTATTACATTGACAGACTTTCATATGTTGAACTACCCTTGCATCCCTGGGATGAAGCCTACTTGATCATGGTGGATAATTGTTTTGATGTGTTCTTGGAGTCTGTTTGCCAATATTTTATTGAGTATTTTTGCATCAATGAGCTGAGTGCTAGGATCCAAACTCAGTTTCTCATGGTTGCTTCTTCCTGCTCCTGACTGTGACTGTGGCTGTGGCTGTGGCAGTGGCTGTGGTTGTGGCTGTGACTGTGACTGTGACTGTGATTGTGGCTGTGACTGTGGCTGTGGCTGTGACTGTGACTGTGGCTGTGGCTGTGGCTGTGACTGTGACTGTGGCAGTGGCAGTGGCTGTGGCTGTGGCTGTGACTGTGACTGTGACTGTGGCTGTGGCTGTGGCTGTGACTGTGACTGTGGCTGTGATTGTGACTGTGACTGTGGCTGTGGCTGTGGCTGTGACTGTGGCTGTGGCAGTGGCTGTGGCTGTGGCTGTGACTGTGGCTGTGGCTGTGGCTGTGACTGTGGCTGTGGCTGTGACTGTGGCTGTGGCTGTGGCTGTGACTGTGGCTGTGGCAGTGGCAGTGGCTGTGGCTGTGGCTGTGGCTGTGGCTGTGACTGTGGCTGTGGCTGTGACTGTGGCAGTGGCTGTGGCTGTGGCTGTGACTGTGGCTGTGGCTGTGACTGTGGCTGTGGCTGTGGCTGTGGCTGTGACTGTGGCTGTGACTGTGACTGTGACTGTGGCTGTGACTGTGACTGTGACTGTGGCTGTGGCTGTGGCCGTGACTGTGGCTGTGGCCGTGACTGTGGCAGTGGCAGTGGCTGTGACTGTGGCTGTGGCTGTGATTGTGACTGTGGCTGTGGCTGTGATTGTGGCTGTGACTGTGACTGTGACTGTGGCTGTGGCTGTGGCTATGACTGTGACTGTGGCTGTGACTGTGACTGTGGCTGTGACTGTGGCTGTGACTGTGGCTGTGACTGTGACTGTGGCTGTGATTGTGGCTGTGACTGTGGCTGTGGCTGTGGCTGTGACTGTGACTGTGGCTGTGACTGTGGCTGTGGCTGTGACAGTGGCTGTGGCTGTGGCTGTGGCTGTGACTGTGGCTGTGGCTGTGACTGTGGCTGTGGCTGTGGCTGTGGCTGTGATTGTGACTGTGGTTGTGGCTGTGACTGTGGCTGTGGCTGTGACTGTGACTGTGACTGTGGCTGTGGCTATGGATGTGGCTGTGGCTGTGGCTGTGGCTGTGACTAGCTCCCTTAAGTTCCTCCCAGCTTCAGTTCCCAATAATGAAGGACTACAACCTGAAATTGTGAGAGGAACCTTTGTCCCCTAAGTTGTTTTTGTCAGGATATTTATCACAGGAACATAAAGGAACACAGGGCAGGGAGTGTATGTATATATGTATGCGTGTGAGTATGGAGTGTGTGTGTGTGTGTGTGTGTGTGTGTGTGTGTGTGTGTGTATCTGTCATTGTCCACCTTATCTCTTGAGCTAGGACCTCTCACTGAATCCAGAGCAGGGCTGGCACCCAGCAAGTTCCAGTAACTCTTCCGTTTTCATGCCCACCACAGTCGGCACTTGGGTTACTAGTGAGTGTGCAAGACCAAGCCCAGCCTTTTTACTCAGGTGCCTGGATCCAAACTCAGTTTTTCCTGATTGTGAAGTGAGTGTTCTCGCCCACTAAGCAGCCTCTCCAGCCCTGACACTGGGTTTTGTTTTGCTCTCTTGGTGCTTCTGCCTCTGGGTCACTCTGAATCACCTCGGAGGAAAGTGTTCATATCATGATGGAAATAGTTTAGTGTATGAACAGGGGTCACGGTCACTGCAATGCTTCTGAGCACAGGCCAATTCCCTACAAACAAATGAAGCTGACGGGGAGCCCCAGGAACCCAGAGCACGGGGCTCAGCTGCTTCTCCTCTGCCCTTCCCTCTGCCACCTCAGAAGGGCCGCTGGTGACTAACTTTCAGGTAAGTTACAGCAGACCAGACTTTGTGAGTTCTGGCTTCTTGTTGACTAAAATCCACATAAAGACAGGACCAGCAGTCTGGATATGTGCTAGGCTATTCCTGGCCATCTGGACAGATGTGTGCTGGCTTCCATTCTGTACCAAGGTACCCTCTTGGATATAGAAAACTTCCAATGCAGTTTGAATCTTAAGGAAAATTCCCATTTCCGAGTTTACAGCATAAATCTACATTTGACTTTAAAATTTTCTGTTCTTAGTAAAACATTAAAAAAAAAAAGTAGACCAGAGTGGATAAAACATAGGCTAAAAATAAAAATTAAACAATGCACATTTGAAGCCTCTGAAAGTATTTTTCAGAATTTTCTACTTTCTTTTACTATGATTGCATGGAAGTCCCCACATGTATTCACAAATATGCTTTAATTTTACAGACCTAGAATTAAAAATAATTGCATTTCAAAATTTCTGATTAGTATGCCATATTACCTCAATTGCTTTAACTATGTTGACAATTTTACACATTTACATACACACACAGCTTTTAAATAAATATGCATATGTCAGATATAAGAATCTACTCATATTAATATCAGTATTTATCATATAGTACATGTATAATCACCAATATATACATATGAACACATTTCCATCATTCCATGTCAATTTCAAATTTTATAAAATATTACATGCTTGATGTGGCTTTTAATTATGTTCAGGTTTTTTTTATATATACCTGGAGATTGAACCCAGGGTCTTATAGATGCTATGGAAGTATTCCAACATGGATCTACATGCCCAACTTTTATTTGCCTTCTTATTTCGAGACAACATCTCTTTCAGTTGCCCACACTAGCCTTGAATTCACTCTGTGTCTTGGGCTGGACTCAAACTCATGACCTTCCTGCCTTGCTGGAATTACAGGCCTGTGTCTCCATGCCTGGCTTATTCTGGGCATTTGAAAATAGAGAAAGACACATAAATACTTTGTAATTTCTCATGTTGCCTAGAATAAAGACCACGAACCCTACGACTCTGAAGTAGCAGTGAGTCAATAAGTTCCTGAGATGCTTAGAAAGACTGTTGTGAATACCAGACATCTCATTTGCATGTGGCTGACATCTCCCACACACACTTGCCACCATCCTGCACTGTGTCCCTTGCAGTTTGTGTGTGTGTGTGTGTGTGAGTGTGTGTGTGTGTGTGTTTCTGAGGTTCCACCCCAGGGCCTTGCACTTTCTAGCCAAGTGTTCTGCCTCTGGGTACATGTCAACCTACCACTGTCTCCCTTGCTACCTTGAGTGTTTCCTCTGCCACCCTTTGCTTCATCTTTTACTGACAATACCTTTTCCTTACATCAGTGGTGACTCTCAAGGTCTCTGTCTTATGAATGTAGGGACTTGGGCTAGTGCCCTGATCCCAGGCCTCTCCCACAGGCCAGCACAGTTCTGGGGGCAGTCTCCGATCAACTCCTTCCACTCAAAGTTTGTTTCTCCTATTTTGCTAAACCTGTCCTTTGTGCTGTTTCATCCTGAGTTCCATGAGGACCTGAGAAACCATCCTGCCTGTATGATCAAGGAGTGCCTTCCCATCCAGTACCCAGAGGGTTGGAGGGAGGGATAGGCAAACTCCCTTCAGGAGGCCCAAATTCAGCCCACACATTTCCCATTGCTTTTTCTGCATGTCAACAACATGGGAATCAAACCTTCTAGAGCTCTGTGTCGCCCTGAGCTGAATGTATTTGTCACCTGATGGGGCCGTTGCTAACAGCTGGCCTGGAGAACTGTGCTGAAGCAGAATTCAAGAGAGCAAAGGAAAGCTTTCTTTAATCTTTTCCAAACCAGTCTGGAGTCTGTATCACTGAAAGATTATGAGAACATCCTGCCCTCTACCTAACACAGGCCAGATTACATTTACTAGATTATATTCATTATGTAATTGGCTCAACTGAGTTATTTACCCTGTTAAAAATCTCTGTGGGGATGGGTGACATTCTCATACAGTCCACATTCAACCCAGAGTGTAAGGTTTGGCCCTTCTCATGGCCGCTGAGCTTTCCAGCCGTGACTTCCATTTCCCCTTCCACTCTCCAGCCACCCCTGCCACACACAGTCTTCTCAAGGTGACTTCCATCCTTGCTCATGCTTGGTCCCTGTGGTATGTTTAATATATACCTGCAAATTTGTTGACATTCCTCCTTTCAAAAGGTAGAGCCTAATTCCCCTCTGGACTTGGCAAATCACTTCCAATGAATACAACGTGGGCTAAGTGATGCTACGTGACTCGCTGGCTGTGTCATGGAGGGGATGGCTGCTGCCTGCTTATTTCTCTTTGGCATCACTCACTGGGGAACCCAGCTGCTGTGTCTTCTAGTGGCTGTCCCTCATGAAGCACCCCAGGTCAGAATGCCCAGTCCTCCCATTCCTGACCTACAGAAAGATGAGAAGTCGTCTTACACCACCGAATTTTCCATGGCTTACTCTGCACCAATCAATAAACGATCCTCTTCACAAGGCCGCCACAACTCTCTCTTACCGTTTTTGTTCTTGACTGGCCTTTCTTTGAGTGGACCAACTTTGAAAACACTACTTCAATTCTTTGCCTCAATTATCCTTGAATGAGGATAATAGCTCTTATCTTTAAGACTAATAAAGAGATTGCAAATGAGCATGTTTGGTGCCAGCACTGTGACTCATGCGTGCAAACCCAGCATTCAGAAGGCAGAGGCAGGAGCATTGCTGAGGTCAAACCCAGCCTGGCTCCATAGTGACTTAAGGCCAACATGAGCTACAGAGGGAGACTCTGTTTCAAAAATCCAAACAAATTAATAAACAGCATACAAAGAAAATGGCAGTTCCTGGTGGGCCACAAGACCCAGCCAGTAGGGTGCTATTTTATTTGTGTTGAAATGTGATTTTATTTGTATGTTAATAAATAAGTTGCCTGGGGGTCAGAGCTAAGAGCAAGCCATTAAGCAGAAGTCTGGTAGTGGTAGCACACGCCCTTAATCTGATCACATGGCAGGCAGAATCTCTGTGTGTTCAAGGACACAGCCAAGCGGTGACCCGAACCTTTAATCTCAGTACAACCATAGAGACCTGGAGGACTGTATAGACAAGCAGTGATGAGGAAGTCATGTGGTTGGGTTTACAGCCAATGAGAAGGCACAACAGAAAAGCAATAAAAAGACAGGACACAGGAAGAAGGTCTTTCTCTCAGGGGAAGGATGGCAGCGAGTGGTAAGATAAGGTGGTCTTAGCTCTTGGCTACTGCTTGATCTCTGGGCTTTTAACTCTTTGTTTGGCTCTGTGTTTCTTATTTAATAAGACTGTTTAGAATTACACTACAAGCCAGTGTGGACGTGGGCCATGAGCTCATCATCACAGCCCCAGACCACCTCTTCTTAGGTGTGCAATAGTTATCTTCCTGCCCTTCGACTCCTCTGCCTCGCATTTTGCTTGTAGAAGGTGATAACTCATCTTGTAGAAGGTGACAACCAGTGTCACTCATCTTCCATCCACAGTGGAACTTGCTGTGTTGCATGCACCAACACCTTTTAGTAAGCAGGATTTCAAGTTAAGAGATTTCACATTGATCAGAAGGTGTCTGATGGATGAGGCGGGCTGCCTTGACTCCCCCAACCATAGTGCGTTCTTCCTGTTCCAGCTGCTGGGGGTAGGGGGTGTGGTGCTCCCAGGAACCGGCTCTGGAAACTGAGCCTCAGTGTGGACTGTGGATGGCTCCTTCCACTTGTAGATATGTGCACTGAAATACAATAGAGCACATTCAACAATTTTCAGAACTGCTCGGGACGTGCCAGCAGAGCGTCTCTCCGCACCAGATGCTTGGCTGTATTGTACTGGCATGCTCAGACACCGGCTTTTCAAGGTATGCGTTTTCCAAAGGCAAAAATCAACATTTGGACAGCAATTATTCAGAAGGAAATTTCATGTCCCTCCACTCGCTTTGCTGCCCATGAAGATTCTAGAGATGTTTCCTTGGATGACTTTGTACTGCGAAGGATGACCCCACACTGAGATTTAGTATGGGTTTGAAAAAATGGAAAACAAAGAAATAAGACTAAGACTTAGTGTGAAATCCATCCGAGGAAAGGAATCAAACTTCTAACACAGCTGCTGTTTGCCAAGCCTCAGCACAACTCTTGTGTGAAGACTTCACAGCATCAGGGTTTAGCAAGATGGTCCCCACTGGTGAGAGAAACTATCAGAAGAGACCTCTTCAGATGTGACTCTGCATGCATCCAAGCTGCACAAACTTTCCACATCACTCTCTGCCTGGATATCCAGTTGACATTTTGCATGAGAATCAAGTTAGTTCACCATGAATAATCACAGTGCCTTGATAATCTGCACAAAAGTTTTCCAGCAGAGACCTTTGATTTGTCTGTCTTCATCCACAAGGGAATTATAATCAGATTAGCTACTGCAAGCCATCCAACAAGGAGAGGAAAAACCCTTCATTCCCCCCCCCCCCAATCTGTGTCCCAGAGCTCAGTATGGTGGTGGAGGGCATTAGATTCTTCACAGACCACACTCTGGTCATTGGGAAAGACATCCCCAAGTGCTGTAGTTGGGATGGCAAATGTCCCCCACAGGCTCACATGTTTAAACTTTTAGTCTCCAGATGGTGGCACTGTTTTAGGAGGCACTTGAATCATTAGGCTGTGACCTGGTTAACTGAATGGTTGGGTGGAGGTGGGCCTTTCCCATGACATCTGCTTTGGGTTCTGCCTGGCGTACTCTGCTTCCTCATCTGCCAAGGGGTGAACAAGGTGCTCTACAAGCTTCCTCTGGCATGAACATGGTTCTGCTGTCACACCTTCCTCACCATGGTGGACCTCTCTGCTTCCTCATCTGCCAGGGGGTGAACAAGCTTCCTCTGGCATGAACATGGTTCTGCTCTCACACCTTCCCCACCCTGGTGGACCTCTCTGCTTCCTCATCTGCCAGGGGGTGAACAAGCTTCCTCTGGCATGAACATGGTTCTGCTCTCACACCTTCCCCACCCTGGTGGACCCAGATCCCCTGAAGCCATCTGTCAAAATAAACCATCTATTAAGTTGCTTGCATCAGATATCTTGGCATGGCAACAAGAAAAACAAACGTCACACCGTACCTGCAGGTGTAGCCTCTTGGCTTATGCTGCAGGTGGTCTGGCTGTTCATCTGTTCCAGAGGGAAGCAGGGCAGGCAGTGGCAGATTTCTCCACTCCTCCCAGTGAACACTGCTGTGTGCTGTACTGGTCTGGGTCGAGGCCTGACCCCTGTGCTCTGTAAACAACTACCAGGAAGAAAGTATGAAACTTCTAGAAGAGACAATTTCTTTAACAAGATTTTGACAAAAACAACAACAACAAACAAACACACAAACAGTTGAGGAAACAGAAGTGGTTCTTGGATTGTTTGGAAATTAAGAATTTGAAGTCATAGAAAACACAATGAAGAAAAGATACCTAACTGTTGTGACCATGTTCTTTCTGGTAAAGACAGGTCTTAGCTGTGAATTATTGTATTCTATTGAGTGTTTAGTGGGAAAACCCTTCATGGTAGGCTTAGCTTTGTTGTCTGATTCTCACTGGTGGGGGAGCATAGCATGCATTGGAGGGTTAATTGATGTGATTTTATTGGACAAAGCCACCTAACTCGGTGTGCTCATAAAATGGATATCTGTTTGACAGAGTTGTAAGTGATGTGTGAAATCTTGTTAACAAAAGTCTCTTACAGGGCCTTCAAATACACTTGTTCTCAGCTCTCTTCCATGTGATTCCAAAATTCTAAATCTGCAATTGTTTTCTGAGGCATTTTACTTAATGCAAACATTGAGTTAATGAATTGGATTAAGTTAATGAATAGGATTGAGCTAATGAATAGGATTGAGTAAATGAATGGCTGATGGACAAGACGAAGATATTGGATCGTAAATGCATGGCACAATCCTCTACCATATACACCTTGAAATGCATGTTAATGTACCTATAGAATCCCCTCCCATGAATATGTTTAAATAATAAGTATTCAGTATGTTCAATCCTCCACACCCCTTTCCCTTACTGATGGCATGCTGTAGTAGTTGTATGGAACAATTCATGGGCATGGACATGCCATTATTCTTACCTCTGAATTGTATTTTGATGACTTTAGTGTCTTTCTGACATCTACCTTCTGTTCCAGGGTTCAGCAGTGAGATATAGCTCATTCTTATACTCTTACATGTAGCCTAAAAAAGAAGGAAAGGAAAGAAAGAAATGAAAAAGAGCGATTGTAATCACCAACCTACAGGGTGTGGCATTCGAAGCCCAGGGGAACTCCCATTTCATGGCTCCAGGTGGTTGTGTGAACCTTTTCTGTCACAAAAGAGAGCAGAAACAAGGTGCAATGATAGCTCAAAGGCACAGAAGATAGGACCTGTGAAATCAATCATGGAAAATGAATTTACTCTTCAAATATTTTCTTGAATAGCTGAGAGAGCTCATTCACAAGTATGCAACTAGTGAGTGACTGTTTAAGGTTAAACTGTAAGTATCTATTTAAAATTAAAATGATTTTGTTAACTGAGAGTCTCTTTGCTCTGTTTGTACAGCCCTTCCTAAATCAGCATTATTAAAGTATTGCTATATTGGGCGGTGGTGGCGCACGCCTTTAATCCCAGCACTCGGGAGGCAGAGCCAGGTGGATCTCTGTGAGTTCGAGGCCAGCCTGGGCTACCAAGTGAGTTCCAGGAAAGGCGCAAAGCTACACAGAGAAACCCTGTCTCGAAAAACCAAAAAAAAAAGTATTGCTATATTAATTATTATATTAGTATTATTAATGATAACTAATGCATTACTTTATTAAAGTAAAAATGTGTCTGCCTAGAAACTTGAAAGCTAGAAGCCCACAGCTATGTAAACCAGTTGTGAATATAACACAGTTGATTCTTGCTGATCTAATTTATAATGATTTATTTAGGTTTCCTGTAACAGACTCAAATATCAAATGCCCAACAGAGATGAAGGTAGATATTTCACATGGATTTTCAAAAGTCAATAAATTACCTGCAATGTTTATCTCATCTTGGAAATGTGCTGGTCTTTAGAATGAAGGTTAATCATGGTTCTGGTTCTTATATGTTTTATTTAATTTCCCATCTGCACACTAACTGCTTCCAATCAGGGCATTGTGGATTGTCCTAAGCTTCATTGTATAGCAGTGGGAACTGGAACTAGCTTCATAGGTGGCTGCCACACACCTTTCTCCAACTTCAGGCCTGGGAATCATAGATACAGCTGAGAGGCAGTCCTTCTGATTGGAAGGCAGCCATACTTGGAGGAGGTAAATGCAGTTAAAAGCATAAGAGATGCTTTCTGGTCAACAAGGCAGGACCAGGCTATTTAAACTGAATCCCTACCTTGTATCCTCCATACCTGGGGTGCGGAGAGTTCACAGATACCCACATCACCTGTTACAACATCACTTTTAACTAGATACATCACCAGTTATAACATCACTCTTACCTAGACACATCACCTGTTATAACAACGTCGTTCTTACCTGGACACATCACCTGTTACAACATCACTTTTACCTAGACACATCACTTGTTATAACACCACTGTTACCTAGACACATCACCTGTTATAACATTGAGCTTACAGAGATGAAACTAGCCGGGTGGTGGTGACATAGATGAAACTAAGCCTGTGACGAACATGAATAGGAGTGTGTTCCTTGGAGTAAGCCATGTGACTGTCATTTGCTTGGGGAAGGATCCCACAGCCTGATATAGTTGCCAGCCTACTAAGCTTTTCTAAGCAGCCTGTCCATGGAGGTGTTTCCCTTCTCTGTGCTATCAAGAAGTAGTTTCTTCCAAATAACTTGTGAAAATCCAGGCAGACGTCACAGTAAGAGTGTCCTCCTCCCAATGTGACAGTGCCTGTTTAATCTAAGGTCACTCTTGCAGATATTTATACAAGAACCTTTGGGAATCCTAGATTTGATTTTCCTTTAAGCTAAAGAAAACTCACCTTTATTAGTATGAGAATAAATAGATTTTATCTATTTATTTAGAAGACCTATTCGCTAACCATATTGATACAGATCCCAAGATGGCAGAGATAAGCCCAATTTGTTATCCTTTAATAAAGTTTCATTTTTCCTTAATGTATATATTTTTTACCCATAATCCTCCACAAGCACCTGAAGTGGATACTGTGAAATGATTCAAGGATGGCCACAACCTACCTTCCACCTATCTCCACGAACACCAGTTACAAGCCAGTTAGCAGGGATTACAAATGACATGTGTGTTGAATGATTCATTTACAAGTTTCTGTCCATCTAGATTCACCAAGGTCATTGCCAATTTAAAATATTATATAATCTACAATAACTTAAATACGTGAATTTTGGCAATTTTGATCAAATAAGTCATTATAACCATAAAATATAATGATTCTCCATCACTACCTTAACCAAAACATGTTTGATGAATAGCTCCAGCCACTCATTTTGCTGAAGTTCGGCATTTTATGAGCCTTGAAACATTTATTATGGGTGATAGTTTTCATTTCTACCTAAGTCAAATTTTCATTTGACCTCTAGCAAAAACTAATCTCAAATATCTAAGGCAACCTCAGACACACAATAATTAACAAAAATGACTTCCAGGGCTAGCGGTGGGGTCTAAATTTCATAAAATGATTTCTGTGTGGATTTAAGCTGTATTATAACACATTTCCAAACAAGACAATTATTTACTGTATTAAAATGACCACAGCTACATTTTTGAAGACAAATAAAACAAAGAGCTTTTAATATCACTGTTCCCCGGCATTATAATTCACAGTTAAGCCCAACAGAATAGCAATTATTTATTTGGAATACCACACAGGTCCTTGCTTTGCTAGGATTTTAAAATTTAAATGCTTTTCCTCCTTGTATAGGCTCGCGTCCCTCAAGTAGTCATTTGAACACAGGATAATGAGGGTATCCTTCGCAAATCATAAATCAAATACCATGCTTTGATCCTCATCGCTACCGTGATAGCATTAACAGCAGTTTATTTGGAAGTATGCAGCACACTAAATTATATGGTTGCTCTTCTGTTTCCTAGTTTATGCTTTCCTCTTGGCTACATCTAGTAATTTTTTATTCAGATCACCATATACTCTATGCATTCCATATTTATAAAAATTCCTAAATACACGCTAGCTACATCTTTGCAATCGTGTGGTTCTTAATGATGCCCTGTTCTGAATTAGAATGAACGTAAGGCGATGTCAGGATGGTAATCTGTTGCCACGTTTGCACATGATAAGATGTCTTTTCACCCTTAATATCCAAGTTCTTTCTTTGTGGTTGTCAGCAATATGCACGCCATTGCTGCCCATGAATGGGCTGCTCCCATAATCAGGAAATGGGACGATTGCTTTCTAAGTTAATTAATGATAATGGCGTATTTATCTAGCATTTCCCTGATGTCCCCAGTGGAGGCTACTGGTTCATGGTACAGTATTTGTTGAACCTGGCCTCATGATAAATTGGGATTCTTTCTGCTCCCTTGTCCTCAAAGCTATTTGTTTTCTTTTAAAAGCTCCTTATAATGTTTCCTTAATGTGGATAGTAAAATAAAGAAACCTCTAGGTTCAAGTGTAAGTGTCAGCCTGGAATCCACTAATGTTGCTGATTGCTGAGGCAATCATGAACTTCTGACAAAAGGATGGGGGTAAACCTAGCTATAACAGAAAGCTAGCATACTATAGGCAGTCAACAGGAGTTTCTTCCAGGAAAAAAAAATGCATGAAATATGTGACACAAAGTGACAAGACATCTTTACGATGAGCATGGCACATCTTCTGAAGATGAATCTGACATGGTTCTGTGGAGAAGCATCAGCTGGAGAAATTTTAGACAGGTCCCTTTCAGGAACTCCCCCCAGCTTCACCCTCCTCTTGGTTCTTCTGAGAGATGGGGAACCTGAGCTGTACTATTCTCTACGCCAAAGGAGACAGCACAGACAACCGAAGGCTGCTTGAAAGGAAACCGAGCACCCTAGAGTGTTAAAGAAACACATTGACCATTTCTCTAGAAAGCGCCAGAAGTGGCATGAAAGTGCTAGATCTGGGCTCACTGTGCAAGACTAAAACTCAAGTTAAAACAAACACAAACAAAAAACAAACAGGCATGCCGGAGTGTACCTGTGATCTCAACTCTGGGGAGACAGGAGACAGAGACAGGAGGATGTCTAAGGCTTTACGACCAGCCAAACAAAATGAACTGGTGAGCTTGAGGTTCAGTGCTACATCCCGTCCTAAAAAATGAAGGTGGAGAACAATTGAAGAAAGACACCTGCAATTGACTTCTACAAGCATGTTCACACATGTTCACACACATGAATATGTGTATATACATACAATAACACACACACACACACATACACAAACATGCTCAATGCATGTGGGGAAAATTGTTAGATCATGGGAGAGAAGATTGCTGTCTTTTTATGCTTCCCACATCACTAAGCTTAACCTAACTCTGTGTACCTAGTGTGCATCATCAAATGTGCTGGTTAAACAGAGTGGTTTACAAAGGTGTTTGGGGGGGCATGGAGGCCAGAGCTCTGCTCTTCTCAGAGGCCTGGCTCCGCAGTGTTGGATCTGTTTTCTTAGCTCCTTCCGTGTGCATCTCTTCAGAAAGCACAGTTTTATCAGTCCTCTCTGGAAGATCAGAGCAGATGTCAGGCTTGCTGGTTCCGTTCCTGGCTTGCAACACCTGGCACAGAAGCTCTCCCGGGCTCCAGCTTTCCTTCAGAATATGAGCGTCTGTCCCAGATCTGAGTGTAGCTCTTCAGCCATCACCCTCACGTTTCATCCTGTGTTTGAATCAGTCCAATCTCTGACCTTTTCAACATTGCCTTTGGCCCCAACATGCTAGGATGATGATACATCAGCTCAGACATACGTCTCCTTACCTCCTCTCAAGTCCCCCTGGCAGGCAGAATTTCTCACTTCTTTTACAATGTCAAATTCCTCACTTGTGGATTTGTTTAACTTTCTGAAAATTATATTCTTTTCACCAAATAACGACCTTGAATTTGTTCACCAACTTGAGCCTCCAGGCATCACTTTTCTTCCAGACACTGGCAGGAAGGTGACTGTGTTCTTTATTACGCTGGGGCTGATGCTTCACAGCTGAAGTTTATCAGGCGTACACTAAGCTGCCTCTTAAGGTTAATGTACG